GAGAGAAGGAGAGAAAGAGGAAGAGATAGAGAGCGCGAGAGAGAGAGAGATCAGTTGTGCTTGGATATTTTCTGCCAAGCAAAAAAAAAAAATCAGTCTCAATGAATTATTCCCTTAAAGCATCCGTTGCTTTTTCTCAACTTGTCAGAGACTTTTCAAAAACACGGCAGCTCACTGTGAGGCCCAGATTTTTAAAAACACCAAATGTACAGATTGTGTATGTGTGTGTGTGGGGGGGGAGATGACAGAGGGAGGCAGAGAATAGGCCGTCCCCTTTGCATTATCGTATTGCCTATTAAACTACTGCCAGGTGGGTGGAGAGCTCTCCCAGTTGCTGAGTTAGTAATGCCTCTGTCTTCAGCACGGACACAGCGCCTGGTTCCAGTAGCAGCAGCTATTTGACATAATGACTGGGTGTGGGGGAGGCAGCAGAATCTCACAGGGTCATGCCTTTGAGATTTATGGCTTTGTCACTTTGCACAGTAATATTCTGTGGTCAGAAGCCAGGCATGGGCGTGGAGGGGAAGGTGGGCGGCAGAAGAGAGTAAGTCCAGAGGCGATTGAGATGATAGAGGCCACTGAGGAAGACATCCCCTGCAGATATCGAAGGCACTTTCCTCTGTTTCCTTTGCTCTTCCCTCACTTATCTGTTTCTTAGTCCGTCACAGTCTTTCTCCGGCCACTGTTCCTCTCGATTTCCTGCTCCTGAATGTCTCTCAGCGGCTCCCAGTCCTTTTCTAGCGCCACAAAACACCACTTGCCCCCCACAGACGTCTGCCTTAATCAAACCCCAGCCAAACTAAAAAACTTTCCTTTCCTTTGCAGAGGCTGGACAGCAAGCATTCTGAGTAGGGATGCCAGCCTCCAGGTGGGCCCTGGAGATCCCCCAGAATTACAGCTCATCTCCAAACCAATGCTCCCTCTAAGCTGTGGAGTCTTGTGAGCAAAAATTCTACTTTGTGAGCGACTGGCATTAAAGTTGTGAGCGAGCAATTTGGCTGCTGCATCAATTAGTTGGCTCAGCAGCCGTCGTTCCTGAGCTAAGACAAACAATGTGTGAGCCAGGGGCTAAAAAACTGAGCTAGCTCACACTAACTCAGCTTAGAGGGAACACCGCTCCAAACTACAGAGATCAGTTCCCCGTGAGAAAATGGCTGCTTTGGAGGGTGGATTCCGTGGCCTTGCACCCTACTGAGGTCTCTGTCCTCCCCAGGCTCCATCCCCAAATCTCCAGGAGTTTCCCAATCTGGATCTGGCATCCCTACCCCCCCACTCCCTGCCAGTTGCCAGGGGGGACCTGGCAACCCTTATTCTGAGATATCCCCCCCCCCGAACAATTAGAAGGTTTGGGAACATCCCTTGACACAGCTAATTGATGTCACGTGAGGCTCTGCCAGCACCAGTGCAGTACAATGACAACAGGAAGAAGGATCCTATCCAGTAAGACCATAAAATATATATTTTTTTTAAAAAAAAGAAAAAAAATCTAGTCCAACACTTTTTCACACAGTGGCCAAAAATACCAGGTGCCATCAGGAGGTCCAGCAGTGGGGCCAGGACACTAGAAGCCCTCCCGTCAGGCACCTGAAGCCAACAACCCCTGATCTTTTTGCTTTTGTTTTTTTTCATCCACAGTGGTTTCCAGTGTAGCAGGACTTCACAAACAGAGGCACTTTATGGGGCTTTGTTCTATATAGTCAAGCATCGGCTGCTTTTTCAGTTCCTATCACCCTTCACATTGGAGATTATAACATGGATGGCTATCCAGATGCACTTGCCATATTGAGAAACACATCTGGAAGGTATAGTATTGTCAGTAAAAGAGGGCGGAAATGTCGGGTCTTCTTCTTGGTTTTATTGTTCATTACTGCCACCTTGAAATACCGCAGTCCTCTCTAGGTGTTGAATCGCTGCTTCTTAAGAAGCACCCAAAGGGTATGAGAATGGGTCTATTCATCAGTGCTAAGGAGACTCTCGATCTTTTCTGTCACTTAATGGGATTTTGCAAGTGGCAGTCCAGGCAGAAAAGAGTATTGAGCAGAGATAAGTATGTTTTATCCTCACCACATGGAACCAAGCAACAAAGAGTTAGGTGTAAGTGGAATGGTTAGACAGGGTTGTTGTTGTTGTTTTTTATCTCCGTCCTAGGATGCCAGCTAGTACATGTAGGAAAACATGGCAAAACTGCATTGTGCTGCTGATATATCTGCAGCAGAATATTTCTGCAGCTGCAAATGGAGACGTAAAAATTCCCAAAAACTTTGAAACCAAAGTGTCCTCTATTCCCCACACCTGGAAATAAAGACCCAGTATATTTTTGCAAATAGTGGAACATATGCAGTACTGTCCTGTCAGACCTAAACATATTTTACTGATATTACAACGTTAATTGTATTATGGATAACTTGGCATGTAAAATTATGGGGGGGGGGGTGTATTTTTTTTAGCATTTGAAAGCTATAAATGGCTTTATTATATTAAAATGAGACCTGTGAGTTTACCTAGTGTTAGAGATGGAGCTTCAGGCAAGATATTCAGAGATCCTCAAGTACAGCTTAATTTTTGCCAGCTAGGAGATTTGGGGGGGGGGGGGGGGTGAAAAAAAAAAAATCTGTCAGCGTAGTCATGCTATGTTTTATTGTAATTGTGTGTGGGGGGGGGGATTGTTGCAAGCTGTTTGGGGAAGTTATAAAATTGGGAATGGTGAAGGAATTTAAAAATATAAATGGGGGACAAAAACCCAAGATTTTGTTACCTGAGCTTGGAAATGGCGTTCCTTCAGTAGAAGGCAGAAATGGAGAAGATGCAGCAGCTCTTGTCCTCTCCCAGTCTCCCTTGCCCCCACTGTAATTGGAGGAGGGACTTGGAGAGCCTCAGAAAGCTCCACCCCATCCTTGATGTTAATTCCATTCACCCAATGGGGGCTTTCGGCTTGTGTTCCTCAAATCATAGCCCTGTGAAATGTGGCAAAACTATCTTTCAAACCGAAGGGATACGGAGTTGGGGGCCTGCTGAAGAGCAGGAAGAGTTTTTAAAAAATCACACTGGGCATGTGTAAAGTAGCTCTCGAGATCCCAGTTATAATTAGCATGTCATCTTTCAGTTCGTTACGAGGTTTTCAGGATCTGGCAACTAACGTACACCCACGTGATATCCAGAATCCCAAGCATACAGGCAGTAGTTAAATGGGTTAAGTTAAAAAGCGTTCATTGCTCCTGGGAGTCAATTTTTCGGAGTCTCCCTGGTCCCTCTTAGCACCCAGGCTTCCCCCGTCCTTCCGTGACGTCAGAGCCGGCGGCGACCACACATCTCAAGATCCAGGTCTCTGTGATAACGATGTGGGTCAGCTGAAGCCCCCCTTCGAAGGTCGTTCCTGAAATGCTGAGCTCTAAAAACCCACACCCAACTCCGCCTGCCTCTTTCTTTTTGTACTTAGAAACGCAGGGAATATTTTACTGACAACTTCCACCTTTTTCGCCTTTGCTAACTGGGAAGTAAGAACTGCGGTTCTGCTGATCGTAGGTTCTACTTACACCATCTTCCCCCTCACCCCCCCCCGCTTTATTTTAAACACTGTGACTAGCGAGCGGCTGTAGCCTTTTTACCCCGGAGGCTCTCGGTTCCTGGCAGTGGTTGCAGCACACGCTGTCAGCTCCATTTTTTGCCCCAGGCAGCTCCTCTCCCCTCAAGCAGTTGTTGACCCATTTCATTTTGATGGGTACAGTGTAGATGCATTTTCTGGTAGCTGTCATAGGCGTTTCTGCTCAATCTCCAGCCGTTTGTCGCCGGAATAACCGCTGTCATCCTGACCCAAAACTGCTGCCACCTAGGTCCCCTTTACTGTGCCGCGTACGAGTGCATAGACGTGTTATCTTCTAATAATTTATGGCCGGCAGCCGCTGTACGGCACCAAGAACGCAAAACGGCCGCTGCGATGTTTCAGATAATTGCATTCAAAATATTTACAAGGTGCCTCCTTCATTTCTAGCAAGAACTGTTGTTTCACCAGAACAGGTGAGTAATTTGACCCAGTTCTCGAAAGCTAACTCACAAAGATTAAAAGTAGCACACGAGGCGAAAATAAAAGAATTCGACAGTCGCAGTATAAGGATTCTTTAGTTTATGTATTTACTTTTAGACCCTTCCTTTCTCCCTAGTGGGGTTCCAAAGTGGCTTACGTTGTCCTCTCCTCTGCTTTATCCATACAACCCCCCTCTGAGGTAGGCTAGGCTGAGTGTATATGACGGGCTCAAGGTCACCCAGCTAGCTTCAAATGGGAATTCAAACCTGGGTTTCACAGATTGTAGTCTGACATTCTAACCACCACCCAACACTGTTCTGGGGGTGGGGGGGTCCCGTGTCCCCCGTTAACAGAATTTCAGAGGCCATGAAGAAGAAGAAGAATGGATTTATATCCCACCCTTCACTACCCAACGGAGTCTCAGAGTGGCTTACAAACTCCTTTCCCTTCCCCTCCCCACAACAGACACCCTGTGAGGGAGGTGGGGCTGAGTGACAGAAACTGCTCTTTTTCAAGAACAGCTGTGCCAGAACTATGGCTTGCCCAAGGTCATCCAGCAGGTGCAAGTGGAGAAGTGGGGAATCAAACCCGGTTCTCCCAGATAAGAGTCCGCGCACTTAACAGTGCCAGTTTGGTGTAGTGGTTAAGTGCGCGGACTCTAACCTGGGAGAACCGGGTTTGACTCCCCACTCCTCCACTTGCACCTGGCTGGATGACCTTGGGCAAGCCGTAGTTCTGATAAGATCTGTTCTTGAAAAAGAGCAGTTTCTGTCAAGAGCTCTCTCAGCCTCACCTACCTCACAGGGTGTCTGTTGTGGGGAGGAGAAGGGGAAGGAGTTTGTAAGCCGCTCTGAGACACCTTTGGGTAGTGAAGGGTGGGATATAAATCCAATCTCTTCTCCTTCTTCTTCTTAACCACTACACCAGATAGTGCTACATGGGTGTAAGGAGAGTTATGCCAAAAGGAATGCTCATGTGGATCTCAGCTGACATCTTCCTAACTCATTGAGACAGTCTTCTTTCCCAGACAGCTTTTGTTGTATTTCGGTGGCCATCCGTTCTTAAACTAGCATACGGCAGCTTCATGTTGCTCTGCTTACTGTGTGGATAGCTGGGAGGGGGAGGGTAATCCTCAAATACCTTGTAATGCTTTGAAAAATCCCTTTGAATCCTCATTTTAAAAGCTCTGTGAAAGCAGATTACTGCGGCAGACTCGAGATGTAATCCATAATAAAAAATGAGATTTTAAAAATGTGTGTGTTTGAACCCAAAATCTTGTTCTATAAACGTAACACTTTAGTGACATCTATGAATTAACTGTAAAATAGTGTTTCTGAGCTGGGCATTTAAAAATGAAAACGAAAGAGAAGAAGAACATTCTTTATTGGCCTCCATGGAACCAGTTGACATGTGGATCAGTTAATTTATTGGACGCTTACCAATGAATCCATCTGCTTAATAAGCCTGTTGGTATCCGGGCATGGACTGTTTAACCTTCATGAAGAACTAGAGTGATACTGGGCTGTCTTTGCTGCCTCCCCCCCCCCCCCCCCCGCCCCAGTTTATGGGACGATATTTGACTTTTATTTACTGACTTGCATCGTTTATGATTCACCTTTCTCACTGAGACGTGACGACAGATTATAAAAATTAAAAACCAACAATGCAGTAAAAACAAAATAAAAATAATTTTAAAAACTAACTAGAAAACTTGCACAGACATCGGGTTGGATCCAGACTAAAATTTCCAGTGGCAGAATGGGAATTCCATGGCCTCTCCTTCTCACTGCTCTCCATGAAACACTGCTTCTGGGAGATAGAAGGGGCCTGCAGCGGGAAAGGGGAATCACTGGCGGTCACCCATTGCGGTCTGGATCCAACTCAGTAAAGCTACCGTATTTATTCGCATTACGTTTTTATTTCCCCATTCCACTAAGTGGCGGCTCAGGGTAGTACATATACCTCACCCTCCATTTTGTCCAACTCTCAGCCAACCCACTGGTGAATGATCATCCAAGAGAAAGAATAAGTAGCCCAAGTGAATGCTCTGGCTGGACGGGGGTTTCCCAGTCTTTAAATCCAGTCCCTTCTCAGTCTTAAATCACTGCACTGAATAGAATACTGCTTGCTAGAGAGCTGTTCACCTGAATGAATTCAGGCGGGAAGAAGAAGAAGAAGACGACGATAATGATTTATACCCCGCCCTTTACCCGGAGTCTCAGAGCGGCTTACAAACTCCTTCCCCTCCCCACAAAAGGCACCCTGTGAGGTAGGTGGGGCTGAGAGAGCTCTGACAAAAACTGCTCTTTTTCAAGAACAGCTCTTATCAGAACTATGGCTTGCCAAAGGCAACCTCAGCCTGATAGGACCAGTATGTTATAAACCAACTAAAAATTCCATGACTGTGCCTTTGGGTTAGGATATTACTACAAAAATCTGGGCTTTTCCTGAAGAGTATTGAATAAAAACAGATTTTTTTTAATGCTATACTAGCTTGAATCCAGCACCGGAGAGGTCATAGCGGTACACAGTTATAGTGGCATACAATGGAAAGTGCTTCAGCCACTAAGAATATGTGTGTGTTTTTTAAGTAATTATACAATTCAGGTTCATAAAGCCAGCACCGTCAGGTGGGAAATTGTTGCAAATGACAACTGCCTCAGAGCACGTGATGACATTTTATTGCCTGAAACTGAAAACCAGTCTGTCCCTGTAAAGAAACTGGGTGGGAGACCCCTGAGAGCGATACATAAACTGCTCTGAATGGAAAGCGGCGTGCAA